TAGCACCAACTGATAATTTCTAAATTCATCTATTTATGTGATTTCAAAGTGTACCAAGTTTCATTAAAATCAGAATTTGACACAACGCGAGGTTCCCTTGTAAGTTATCCATTTTGAGATAACGAATCTATGAAATGTCACATTTGTTTAAAACCTTTATACTAGTATTTAGTATTGTAGATGTAGTGCATAAATCACATACATATATAAAACCCTGTCACAATTTAAATTAACCCTTTATACTGATGCACTGCTAGCTACTACTTATATTTATTACTTAACTTCTTGTTTATCCTAGGTTTTTCTTTTTTTCTGTGCGTATCATATCTATAAATCGTATGCTATGTTTTAAAATGTTAAAATTTGACATTTTGGCAACTGTTTTGTTGACGCCGCACCTTTTGACGTTTCATTTAACATTACATTTTATCCTCACGCTTGTTTTCAAATTCAGACATGTTAATCTGTATTTTATTTGCACCTCAATAAAGTTATTATACTTCATACAATTTTTTCCATAGATTTGTTCTTTTATTGTTAATATAAAACAACAGTTTCTTAATTACTGACTGATGCATAACAGCGGAATATCAGCCACATTTATTCTATAACACGCCAATATAAGATCCAAATTAAAGATATGCTCAAAATGGCTAACATTTAAAAGAATAATTTTTACGCATGTCAAATTTTTTATTTATTTTTTAATCAGGTACTTATCAAAATAATTAATTATACACTTTTCGAAAAAGATTCAGAAAAATAGACTTTTACAAAAGATTAGATATTATTTTGTTTTCTCTACAATTTTTTTTTTTAATTATTAAAATAAAAAACAAGTTCGAATTAATGGAATGGAGAAAGGGTTATTTTAATCAAGAGCCATGAAAAATAGTGCTTGATAATAACTGTAAGATTGTTTCGATCTCCCCTAGGCTCCTTCTCCTTTCAGGAATCCGAATTATTAGTTTCGTACGATTCCATCTCCGGATCGTTTTTCTGAATTATTTGAATAAACGATTCGATTAGACGAAAATAGGCGGTGCTTTCATATATGATTTAATATGTAAGAATCAATTTTATATTTACCTCCTGCCCCCTTTGGACTACCCAAGCTAGCAGCTAGCTCCGTAGGATTCCATCGACGCGGCACTCTCGTGCAAGTCAACGTGGCACGACTGCGGTTAAATCAACGACAATATGTCGGGAACATGTCACAGTTTCTCCATTGTTAGGACATACTGAGCTCTTCAGGGTACTGACAATGAAGCTTCGCTATTTCATACACATACGTACACGCGCGCGCGCGCGCGTAAGTTAACAATCGTTGCAAGATCGTTGCATACAACATTCGCGAATACACCAGGAATTACACAATTGCACGCGAAGTAACGATCCACGTAGCGATTATCACGCGACTTTGCATGAAGGTCCCGAAATTTTGAATGTTGAATAAACGCTAATGAATTCAAGAATAATACGTAGATACACGGAGTCACGTAACGGAGCTCCTGTATCCTCGAGTGCCGGCATCACTTCGGAGAAATGTTTCACTGTTCCAACTAGAATTCTAAATATTACACTTAAATTATATCGTTGTTTTTGTATCTGCTAAAAAATTGTCATATGTAGAATTTATAGCACCAATATTCCAAGAATATATACAAGAAAATATAG